CGTTCTAGAATTATCAAAATTTAAAATGTACAATTTTCACTATGACTATATGAAGCCGAAATATCAAGAAAATATAAATTTAATGTATATGGATACTGATTCTTTTATCTATGATATTAAGACTTTAGATTTTTATGATGACATTCGTTTTGAAATTGATCAGCATTTCGATACTTCAGAATATGATAAGGATAATGTTTTTAAATTACCATTGATAAACAAAAAAAAAATAGGTATGATGAAAGATGAGTGCAGGGGGGATATAATAAAAGAATTTATTGGACTCAGAGCTAAAATGTATTCAATACAAGTCTCTAATATAAATAATGCTGAAACAACGGAGATCAAAAAAATTAAAGGAGTAAAGGCGAGTGTGACCTCGAAATTAACTATTAACGATTTTCGAGATTGCTTGTATAAAAAAATAAGCAAGTTGGAACAATCTACTTATTTAAATCGAAATTACATCAAATTTATACGCAAGAGTATACAAAAGTCACCCTAAACTATTTAGATGATAAGCGCTATATAAAAGAGAATAATATAGACACACTTGCATGGGGTCACAAAGATATAGCCTACTAAGTTAAGCTAAAAATAAAAAAAATTGTCGAAATAAAAATTTTAAACATAAATGAGCACAGTTATATGTATTGAATTTTTGTTCATTTGTTTCATTTTGTTGAGAGCATATATAATGATTGTTTAGTGTTATATCAAAATCACTTAAATGTAACGATACCCTTATATCCGCTATCAATGGAGCAACAAAAAATAATTGACTTAGAACAAAATTGTAGTATATGCGGTAATTTATTCACTGATCAATCTAAAAGAGTTCTAGACCATTGTCACTTAACAGGCAAATATAGAGGTGTAGCACATAATAATTGCAATTTAAACTATAAATTAGCAAAATTTTTCCCAATATTTTTCCATAATCTCTCAGCATACGATGCTCATTTATTTGTAAAAGAATTAATTAAAATTCCTGGTGATATTTCTATAGTTCCGCTAAACAACAAGTTTTATATTTCGATCTCAAAGAAAATTTATATAAATCCCAATGAAACGTTAGAACTTCGATTTTTAGATTCATTTAGATTTATGCCTTCCAGTTTAGACAGCTTAGCCAGTTATTTAAAAGAAGAAAATCTAACCACAATAAAGTCATTTTTCACGGACCCGAACAAATTTCAAATGGTTAAACGTAAAGGCATATTTCCGTATAGCTATTTAAATTCAGTTGAGCGCTTGTCAGATACACAATTACCGTTGCGCGAAAATTTTTATAACCAATTAACTGATAGACACTGTTCTGAAGAGAGTTATCAGCACGCTCAAAACGTTTAGAATGCCTTCGAGTGCACAAATTTATTAGATTATTTATTATTATATTTGAGGGTAGATTTGCTGTTGCTATGCGATGTTTTTGAGAATTTTAGAACAGTATGTAAAAAAATCTATAATTTAGATCTTTGTCAATATTATACAACTCCTGGTCTATCGTGGGATGCTATGTTGAAGACAACTAAAATTGAATTAGAACTACTCACAGATATTGATATGTATAATTTTATAATGAAAGGTATTAGAGGTGGTCTTGTTCAATGTAGTAAACGTCATTCTATTGCAAATAACAAATATCTAAATAACGATTACGACTGTGAGAAAGAATCAAACTATATTGTATACTTAGATGTTAATAATTTATATGGGTATGCTACGTCACAAGCTATTCCGAATAAAAATTTTAAATGGCTAGAAGAAACAGAAGAGGGAAATTTTGAAAATTTTGATTTAAACACGTGCGTAGATGATCAACCAATTGGTTATATTTTAGAGGTCGATTTGGAATACACTGAAAACTTACACAGCCAGCACAATGATTTACCATTTTGTTCGCAGAACAAAAAAAATGAAAATATGCAACAATCAAAATTGATTGCAGACTTGACAAACAAATATAATTATATAATTCACTATAGAAATTTGCAGCAATGTCTTCGACATGGACTGATTTTAAAGAAAATTCATCGAATATTACAATTTGATCAATCTGATTGGCTTAAAAAATATATTGATTGTAACAATCATCACAGAACATTGGCTGTTAATGATTTTGAAAAGAATTTTTTCAAACTGCTAAACAATGCAGTCTATGGCAAGACAATGGAGAATGTCGACAAGAGAAAATCAATTAAATTAGTGTCCAGGTGGGAGAGTGATGGTAAAAAATTGGGAGCTAGAGCACTTATCTTAAAATTTAATTTTAAGAATATATTGCAATTGGCCGATGATTTCTTTGCAATTCAAATGAAAAAAGTGCATGTTGTCTATGATAAGCCTGTCTACATTGGCTTCACCGTTCTAGAATTATCAAAATTTAAAATGTACAATTTTCACTATGACTATATGAAGCCGAAATATCAAGAAAATATAAATTTAATGTATATGGATACTGATTCTTTTATCTATGATATTAAGACTTTAGATTTTTATGATGACATTCGTTTTGAAATTGATCAGCATTTCGATACTTCAGAATATGATAAGGATAATGTTTTTAAATTACCATTGATAAACAAAAAAAAAATAGGTATGATGAAAGATGAGTGCAGGGGGGATATAATAAAAGAATTTATTGGACTCAGAGCTAAAATGTATTCAATACAAGTCTCTAATATAAATAATGCTGAAACAACGGAGATCAAAAAAATTAAAGGAGTAAAGGCGAGTGTGACCTCGAAATTAACTATTAACGATTTTCGAGATTGCTTGTATAAAAAAATAAGCAAGTTGGAACAATCTACTTATTTAAATCGAAATTACATCAAATTTATACGCAAGAGTATACAAAAGTCACCCTAAACTATTTAGATGATAAGCGCTATATAAAAGAGAATAATATAGACACACTTGCATGGGGTCACAAAGATATAGCCTACTAAGTTAAGCTAAAAATAAAAAAAATTGTCGAAATAAAAATTTTAAACATAAATGAGCACAGTTATATGTATTGAATTTTTGTTCATTTCTATAGTTATATTCAATGGGTGGTTTTAAATATTTCACAATTTCAATGGGCGGTTGCAAATCACCAAAACTATCATAGTATTCTTTATAATTTCTATTCTTGAAATATGCTACCCAATGCGTGAGTTACGTGTTGAAATATGGTTGAGGGTGGAGAATATCCTGTGTTAGGTAAAAGGTGACCGCCCAAATGATAATACGATCGTTTAGTACTGCCGTGATTGGGTTCGTCTCAGCGACTGACTTCATTTTATTTTTGTCTTTGTCTTTCAATGGCTTATAGCTAATACAATTTATGCTGACCTAGCGGAAGGGAGTTGCAATTGGAGCGGATGTGCAGCGGCCCAGATGTTTATGTTGGCACTTGTTGCCAACGTGATATTTGCGCTGAGATGGCATTTATGCCAGTCGTAGGGGTTTCGGTGGGGGACCGCCGAGGGTAAGTGCTGAGGCGGTAACTCCTCCCCCCTCAGACTGAACTACCGACCATAGTGGAGCGATGGTAGGTGTGAAGGTGGTAGGTGGACCAATAGTTGGCGTGAATGACGTGAGTGGTGCCGCTGGTGTAAAGGTGGTCGTTTTTTCGACAAGCAAGCCACGGCTGTTACCACTATCAATAGTACGGTTAGCATTGTATATGTCGCTGTTGCGTGTATTGCTGTTCCCGTCTGGATTCTATTGATTTGTATTTTCGTCTCGATGTCCTCCATCTTCAACTCATGTATGCCCAATTCTTGGGTAGTTCGGTTTTTTGGATGGCTTTGATCTGAGGTATCTGTAAGTTTAATCTCACTGTGCCAAGCTTTTCCAATGTTCCGTATTGGATGTTCTTTACCATTGCTCTGCACTCTCTGAATGTGATCAGTGCTGATCCATTTATGGTCCTTTCATGTCCGCAGTCTGTTTGCACCTTTATATTCTCTCCATTGAATATAGCGATGTAACCCTCTTCCGGCTCGAAAATTCTGCTCACGAGTCCTACATCCTTCGTCTCGCAACTTGCTTCCTCCCCGCTAATCAGCTTCCTAATACATTTCTCATTGACTTGGTTTACTATTTTCTCATTCTTACATGTAAATAAATTTCTTATTTTTAGACATTTTTCCTTATAGTAATATATCTCTTCTTCGTTGTTTACAATATATTCCGGTGCTAATACATATTCAGTTTTGTTCATGGGTAACGCTATTATTCTCTGCAAAGAATACGTTCCCTTTTTAAAAACCGGTAATTTAATTGAGAATATTATGTCCGTTCTGTTCATAATTGCTTTTAATTCTAAGAATTCATACATGTGTTCCTCGGACGTTATATTTATGCCTTGTCCTTCTAACTCCTGTACACATTTTGTTGTTTCTTGCTTATCAAATATGAATTTTGAAATTAATCCTATCTTAGCCAGCAACAGGCTTTCTGCTATGTCGTTAATATTCAATCCTAACATGTCTATCGTTACAGAAATTCTATCTATGTATTCTAACCTGTATATTCTTTTATCTTCTTCCAGGAACGTTTTACTTATTCCGTTCCTATAGTTATTTATGAACATGGTTACCCTAGTTTGCTCCTCATTAATATATTTTGTTAGGTTTTTGAACATTATGCTGAACTTTACTCCTGTCCTTTCCTGCGCATTCATTGTCTCTCTCAATATCTTCTCTTCCTCCTGGGTCTTCCTAATTTCTTCTTCCAGTCTTTCTGCATCCTCTGCATCAAGATTTCCCGTTATAGATTTGACAACCGATCCTAACCCATTAATTAACCCTCTAGTTCTCCTACTCTTGGGACATATTGCTTCTAGCCTGGCTTTAATCATGTGTAATTTGTTTTGTAACACCCTAACGAGGTCCTTTGTTTCTGCATCCTCGACTACCTCTCTGAGTGTCTGTTCTATGTTCTCTATAGCCTCCTGATATTCCTGTAGTCTTATTATGTGTATTAAATTTTTATGTGTCTGAATTATTTTAGCAGGGCCTAAGCTGATTTGTGCTACCGGTTCGTCTCCTTGTAATGTCCGGATCTCGAACCTCTTCTCCGCTGTCATGGTCCTTGACCACCTGGAATGAATCATTCATTTGATTTAGTTAATTTCCTGATTTTTTCTTTATGGATCTTTTGTGGTCTTGTTGATGTTAGTGTTAGTCCGTTGTCCTCCAAAACCTTGTGTTTCGAAAACCGAGGGGTAAGTTTATCCCTCCTGTTTTCTTTCCTAAATATTGTATCACCTGCCTGTACCGGGCTTGGTTCTTCTCTATCTGCATTTGCTGCATCTATCCTTCTGATTTTTTGTTGCTCTACTTTTTCTTTGATTTTTGGGTACAATTCTGCCTGAAACGCATTGATCTTTTGCAAATAATCGTGTTCATTGTTAAACGCTACGTTATTTAAGAAGGTATGTGTTCTACCAGTGAATAATTCTTGCGGTGTTAACTTAGTGGCTGAATGAATAGCATTATTGTAAGTTATAAACGCCTCATCCAGTACTTCCTCATGTCTGATATCTAACTTATTTGTCTTTTAGTTTCGTTAATAAGCCTGTATATTTCCGTAATCGTGGAGTGTAGCCTTTCAACCGTGGAGTTGCTCGACGACTGCTGAAAGGACGTTGTGTGCAGTTCCAAATCGTACTGCCTACAAAAGTCTTTGAAGAGGTTGGACGAGAATTCTACTCCCTGATCGCAAACTATCTTCTTGGGTACTCCGAACAAGGCCATGAAACCTTTTATTGCCTTCACTATACTTACGCTTTCCTTTGCTGGAATTGTTAATCCCCAAGCGTACCTCGAGAATTTGTCTATTATGGTTAGTACATTTTTCTTGTTCACGAAATACAAGTCTATGTGCACTATTTCCATAGGTCTCTCTGGTGTTTCCGTCAGACTGTACTTAATCTTATTTGGTTTCCTATCGTATTTCTGAATTTGGCAGCTGTCGCAATTATTTATCGTTTGTGCGATTGCCTGTTTCATGTGTAGGAAAAACACCTTCCTCTTGAGGTGGGCTAACGTTTCATCTATGCCCCTATGATTGCTCTTTTCGTGATACTCCTTAATGACTTGTTCCTGTTCGCCCTTTTCCGTTATATCTGGCAACAAGACTGTACATCTTATTGCCCTATACAACTTACTATAAGCAAAGTATTTGCAATATACGTCCTGGATCGTTATCACCAAGTTTTCCGGAATCAATAACGCCACCGTCCTTTTTGGTTTTAGAATTTCTTTTAGCCTACGGCCAATTGTTTCGTCGTCAAAACAGTTTTCCGTTCAAATTATTCTTAATTTATTCCTAAATGGGACTCGTTTCTCTACTCCTGCTCTCACCCCTTCCTGTATAACCACCTGAATATTATACTCATTCAGTGGTTTCTCTGATATTGGGAATCCCAGTTGTAGGTCTTCTCCAGCAGAGTGAATTGTCTCTCCATTCGTTGCTATTCCCGACGCATCTTCTAACACATTGAGTTCGGGTTGAATTCTGCTCAATGCGTCTGCCACTACGTTCAAGGAGCCCTTTTTATATACGATCTCATAATCATACTCCAACAGTTGGAGTCGCCACCTTACGAGTTTGGAGTCTGGTTCCTTGATGCTCATCAGCCAGGTCAGTGGCCTATGATCCGTAACTATTTTGAACTTTGTGCCGAATACATAGTGTCTAAAATGCTTAATTGCCCAGATAATGGCCAGCATTTCTTTTTCTATGGTCGCATAGTTCACCTCCGATCCTGATAATGTCCTACTAGCATATGCTATTGGTCTGTCCGTTCCCAGGTTTCCTTGGGATAATACGGCGCCAATCGCATAGTTGCTTGCATCCGTGGTCAGGATGAATGGTTTCTCAAAATCGGGAAACTGTAAAATCGGATCGTTGCATAGTAAGGTTTTGCATACCTCAAATGCTTCTTTGTATTCTTGATCCATCTGTACAGTTTTTTTTGCCCTTTAATTGTTTCGTCATCGGCTTCGTGATAGCCGCGAAATCTCGTATAAACTTCCTATAGTACCCCAATAGGCCTAGGAACGATTTGATCTGCTTCCTAGTCTTGGGAATCTCGAATCTTTTAATTGCTTCGATCTTCCCTGGGTTTGGTTTAATACCTTGTTGGGTTACTACATGTCCTAAATATTCTACTTCTTTCCTCAAAAATTCCGTCTTGTCTAACTGTAGTTTAAAATTAGCTTCCGCCAACTTCTTAAAGACTCTTTCCAAATCCGTGATGTGCTCCTGCAACGAGGCTGAGAATACCATAATGTCATCCATATATATGAGACAACATTTTCCCAGTAGTTCCCCGAAAATGTTATTCATTAACCTTTGAAAGGTTGCTGGAGCGTTATTCAATCCGAATGGCATTCTTACATACTCGAAGTGCCCCCCTTCAGCCGAGAAGGCTGTTTTCGGAATATCTTCTGCCTTTACCTCGATTTGGTGGTATCCACTCGCCAAATCTAAGGTTGAGAAATATTTGGCCCTACCCAAACTATCCAATACATCACTTATTATTGGCATCGGGTACCTGTCCTTAATTACTTTCTCGTTTAACTTAATATAGTCCACTACCATCCGCCATTTCCTCTCTCCTGAGGCATCCTTCTTCTTTGGCACCAACCAAACCGGCGCACTCCATGGTGAGTGGCTATGTCTAATGATCTTCTGATCTAGTAACTTCTCTATTTGTTTCTTAACTTCCTGTCTCTCTTTGAATGCATACCGGTACGGCCTGGCATACACTGGTATGTCATCCCCCGTTCTAATTTGATGCTTGACTGCATTAGTGAAAGATAACTTCTCCTTTTCTTTATGGAATACCTTAGGGTACTTCTTGCAAATCCTGCGAAGCTCTCTAAGCTCCTCACTATTTAGGTGCTCTGTCCTGATCTTGTGGAACGGTACGATTGTATCTTCGTTCCCTGTTCCTTCTATATTATTGAGCTCGAAATGCTGCTCAGTTTTGAATTTTACCACTTTTAATGGTTCCTCTAAAAACAACTCCTGGTCTATCTCCGCGTAATTTGTTACCTCTACTAGGCTCTCTCCAGCCATTGCCCTATAAATTCCTTCTGAAATGATCATATCTTCCTTTACTGTTGTTTTACTCAGTAAGAAGTCCCCATCAGGTACCTGTACTGGAATACTTATAACTCTTTTTGTTCCCGCTTCTATCCTGTGAACCTCGCTTGGTCTATATGTAGCAAACTGAATCTGCAACCTCTTGTCTACCGTGCGGAACCACCCATTTTCTATATCGATCACGGCCTTTAACTGTTGTAGTAAATCTATTCCGATTAATCCTTCAAAAAACTGGTGGAATCTGAAGAGCAGCATCCTCATCTTCCCTATTCCTCCCAGTTCCTTGAATGTCGGCAAGTATGCTTCTTTCGAAATCTTATGAGATTGTGTAATTGTCTTAATTGCTATTGGGTCTTGTAGGTCTTTCACGTATTGTGATTGAGCCAGTTCGGGACGAATAAAAGAGAAAGTAGATCCTGTGTCAATTAACATTTTAATTACTCTTTCGGGAGTGATTCTGATCAATACATAAGGTAGGGTTGAATGGCCCCTCCTGGCCCCTAAATATCCTGTTGGTTGTTCGAGGCTGATTTCGGAAAATTTACATCGTCTTCTTGAATGTTATGCAACTGGCCACTGGTTGCCGGCTGATTTCCCCCTCTCTCTGCGTTATTTGTCGAATTATACGACCGTCTTGTATTGGCCGAATTATTCGACTGCCTTGAATTGTTGGAATTATACGATTGCCCGGAATAGTTCGAATTCCTAGACATCCTTGTCTGGCCACTACCCTCTGCATCTCCAGCCGCCTGGATTGCTCGCTGACCCTCTCTAGGCCTGTTGTTATACCTGTTGTTTCCATACCACTGCCTATCTCGATTATTTTGCCCATAGTTCCTATTATTATTCCAATTATCATTCCTATTATCGTTCCTGTTCTGGTAGTTACGATATGGTCTTGAGTAGTTGGAAGTTTCACCCTGGTTAAAACTGTCTGGTCTGAATGGGTTCCCCATCATGGGACACGGAAATCCAAATCCCGGCCATCCATCGGAAATGGCATTGGGAACTGTGGTAAGGTGTTTTCTGCCCACCGATACTGAGCCCAAGTGCCAGTCTGCGACTCGGGTACTGAGTTATCTTGCCTTCCTGGCTCCTGTTTCGGAGTTTCTTTAACCTCTTTGCCCTGCGGCTCTGTCAAAACTTGCCCTTTTGCTTCCACTTCTACCTCCTCCAGGGTGCCCAAGTTCTTTTCCCTGCAGGTTATCTCGTAGGCTTTGGCTATATTGGTTACCCCCATGTTCCTGATAGTCACTCCTATTGGTCCTTTTAAGGCTGACACAAAGGCGTTTAAGGCCATATCCTCATACCATTTGGTCTTTTCGCCCCTCAACAACATGCCTTGCTCCTTGGACTTGGCCTGGCTCACTAGGGCTTTCTTTAGGGTCATAACTTTGGTGTACAAGGCCTCTAATTCCAACTTCTTTTCCTTAATATGTGTTAATTCCATAATCAAATCCTGTTCAGATCTCTTGTCTTTGAAATGGGTAATCAATATCTTCTTTATCTGGTCCCAATTTAGCTCCGAATCATCCAAATCTAGGACTTTATCTGCTGCTCCTACAATCTTGCTCCTTATCGCTCCGAGTGCGATCACTCCTATGTTTGACCTCTCTTCTCCCTTTATCAGATTGAGGACCTGTTCTACTGTCCCTATAAATCCATCTAGTTTCGCCGATTCTCCTTCATACTTAGGGATTATCTCTACCAGGTCTATGACCTTGATAGCTTCCAGGACGCTAGTCGTCGCCATACTTGTCGTCCTATTCTCTTCTGTCATAACAATTGTTTTTTTCTCTTCCTATTCTTGCTGTCTTCTTCTTCTTTACTTAGTAGTGTGCTTATACTATGTATACTGTGTATAATTTTAGTGTATAATTTTAGTGGATAATTTTAGTGTATCTCTTAATTTTAGTGTTACTTATTCTTATTTATTTGTTTTCTTCTTGTGTTTGTGTAGATCCGTGTCCGTGTTGTGCAATGGAATTCTGTAATTAATTCAATATAAGTATTTTTCCTCAGATTGGTTTTTATAAATAGCAACAATGGATTTCATTATAATCATTTAGAAAATTTTTTTTTTTTTCTTTATTATCACTGTACTTCCGTCTCCTCCTACCATACCTCATAATTTAATTGTTCTTTACTGTTTATTTATTTTATTTATGCCTTTAATCGTTGCTACCCGGCATGCTGAAGCTAGCTGCTCAGCTGTGCGATACAGCATCACAACCAAATGCGGACAGTCAGTGCCATTAGGGATTTTTATTTGTATTTCCTTTGACTATCCCCGTGCTAAACGACTACACTGTTTGTTCCAGTGTATCGCTTAATACATGTGAAAAGCCTCGTGTCACGTTCCATGTATTTTATTAATTTTCCTCTGTATTCTCTTAGTAACATATTCTTCCATCCCCACGCTAAGCGGTCGCCCTGTGCATTACAGTGCGCCGCCTAATACATGTTAATGGATATATATCACTTCTCTTATTCTCTCTATCGAATCAGTACCTCCCCTTGCTAAGCGGCCGCCCTGTGATCCACAGTTCGCCGCCTAACACAAGTGAAAGCCTAACCGATATTAATTATATTTAATTGTTCATGATGCTTTACTTCATTCTCACGCTAAGCGGCCGCCCTGTGCAATACAGTGCGCCGCTCAATACATGCAAATGGAGCCAATAATTTATTTATAGTATTTATTTTGAATTATAACTCTTGCTCCCGAACTTCTAGTTCACTGCCTCGACATCTCCCTGTATCCAACCTATCGAACCACTCTCTTGTCTTCTGTATTGCTTGAACTTGCCGACAACCACTTCCAACTCGATCCGAGCTGTCTGCAACCACCCGACTGTCACTGCTCATGGCCGAACACCACCAAATACCGCAACATCGAACTGTCTGCAACATCTTCTCTCTGTCATCTACCAACGATCGACCGTTCGACCGAGCTGTTCGGTGCGCATCGTACCATCGCCGACCACAACCGTCTGCCGACACTTGTCGACATCCGACCGTTCGATCGAACCGCTCGACGCAACCTCGAACCGTCGGTGCTCCCGACCGTTCGCCGGCGTTTGACCACGAGCCTTTTGTTGCACTCAAACCTTCCATTTAGTTCGCAAACACGACCACTATTAATATTATTAAAACTTCTTATTAAACTTCCAAGTTAATTTTCTTCCACTTATTAAACACATTCTATGTGAATATATTTTTATTTAATTATTTTTCCAATCTGCTGTCGTTCAACTTCGGACATTATGTACTTGCCCTATTCTCCTTTCACATTCCTCTGCCTGCGGTTCGAATACTGCCTTTATTCTCACTGATTATAACACTCCTTGATTGCATATTTTGTTAATTTTTTTTTTTTTTTTTTTTTTTTTTTTTATTAATTTATTTTTTAGTTTTGTTTATTTTCCATTCCATTGCACCCACTTCACTCTACTTACTCTTACATAATTATGGTACAAATAATGTAAATCGTTGACATATCCCTTGCTGTCTCAGATCCTTCCTTCAGAATGTTGGGGTCAGACCTGTCCTTAAACAAGGGTCTACCGACTGCGCCAGTTACGTGTTGAAATATGGTTGAGGGTGGAGAATATCCTGTGTTAGGTAAAAGGTGACCGCCCAAATGATAATACGATCGTTTAGTACTGCCGTGATTGGGTTCGTCTCAGCGACTGACTTCATTTTATTTTTGTCTTTGTCTTTCAATGGCTTATAGCTAATACAATTTATGCTGACCTAGCGGAAGGGAGTTGCAATTGGAGCGGATGTGCAGCGGCCCAGATGTTTATGTTGGCACTTGTTGCCAACGTGATATTTGCGCTGAGATGGCATTTATGCCAGTCGTAGGGGTTTCGGTGGGGGACCGCCGAGGGTAAGTGCTGAGGCGGTAACTCGTGCCACTACCGCTTTCGTTATCTAAATTAATTATCCCACATTCGTTGGTCCATGGTTTCTTGGGGAGACGATCACGCATAAAAACACCACGAAAGTGTCTAAAATGCAGTTTACCAAAATCAATTAAATCAATATCGGTAAGTGCTTGTTTGGGTAGCATATTTATTAGTTTTTTGGTGAATATGGCTTATAAAATAGTCCATATCCTTTCTTATAAGGTTTCAGGAAAAGTCATTTTCCCATCGCAATTGATTCCATATAGCGGTTATGACGTGTCGCTTCGGCTAATTGTTCTTTACCATTTTTGACAACGTTTATTGCTTTAGCAACAGCAGATCCACCACTAGCAAGACCACCAACTGCACCAAGTGCAGTCAATATTGGTATCAATGGTAGGAATCCCCCAATTTTTGGTAATGGTATCACCCTCGGAATATTGGAGATATTATTCGCTAGACCTAGTCGACCTCGTCTTCGTCCTCGTTGTCCTCGTTGTCCTCGATGAAAACTAGGTGGGATTGATTGTTGAGATATCTGAATTGCTTCATCGATACTCGTAGGATTTCTTCGTTTCAAAATTCGCTTCGTTTGACTCACAATGCTTGCGAATGATTTTTTTCTTGTTTGTCGATGACGTCGACGTTGTTTTTTTTTATTACTAGCTGGTTTCCTCTTACGTTGACGTCGATGAGATTTGTTTTTAGACATACCTAGACCGAATTTAACTTTTGTTTCATAGCGTTAGTCACAAACCAAGCAGCAGAACGTTCTTTTAGACCGCTATCTTTTGCTTTAAAACGTTCCCACGCTATATCACCTAATATATCATCGGCCTGATGACGATTTTTCAGGTCTTTGAATTGTGAATATGCAATATCGTGCTCTCGACACGCTGCATCTAGCGGATTAATCCCTTTGTCTCCACGTTTCAAACGCTCTGCAAGTTTTGTGCCTGGTCCACAAAATTGATATCCTGGCAAATGAAGTTCAATTGGTAGTTTGTTAATCAAGTTGTTAACGAGTCCACTACCAATTCGATACTGATATGAATTTAATTTATGTTTATAATTTATACGCATTATTGCATTTCCTTTTTTTTTTGTTTTTTGTTTATGACTATTCTGTTTCAATGACAATCGTATATTAAACAAAAACGAAATATATACTCAAATATTTATAGTATTTTCATTAGTAGTTGTAAAAATTTGTCCAATAAAACAACCACAACAACAACAACAACAACAACAACAACAACAAAGTGAGATTTATAAAACAAACCAGACAAATTAAAGTTCGAAATGTCGATCAAATTTGTGGTGAGGGGGATAGGAGTGGAAAAATTACGCGCTCTAATTGTGGGGCCATCTAATTGTGGAAAGACAAACGTAATGATAAGTTTGATCGAAAGTCCCAATGGACTTAAATTTCAAAATATATACATTTATTCAAAATCGTTGTATCAGCCAAAGCCAAAGTATCAATATTTAATGAAATTGATTAACCCAATTAGGGATACACATGTTCACGTTTTCAGACAAGGAAAAAGTCGTCAGTCCAGAAAGGGCTAGACCACACTCAATAATGATATTTGATGACGTAATCTGTGATAAGCAAACAGCAATAAGAGATTATTTCTGTATGGGTCGCCACAAACGCATAGACTCCTTCTATCTATGTCAAACTTATACAAAAATACCAAAACATTTAATACGTGACAACGCTAATTTGATTATAATTTTAAACAAGATGAAATGAATATTAAACATATTACAATGATCATGTTATAGGCGATATGACTTTTAAGCAATTTATAAAAATTTGTGAGGAATGCTGGAAGCAAAAATATAAATTTGTTCTCATAAGTAAAGATAATGATATTGATAAAGGACGATATAGAAAAGGATTCGATAGTTTTATACATCTATAATCATTATCATCTCTCGATCAGCTCTGGATCAGCTCGGCATCAGCTTTGGATCAGCTCTGGATCAGCTCTGAATCAGCTTCGGATCAGCTTTGGATCACCTATATATATATATATATATAATATCATATATTTTACTAGTAAATAATTGGTTTTTAAACAAACAACAACAACAACAACCACAGCAGCAATGGTGAAATCAAAAAATAAGACTAAAGTGTTGGATGATCTGATTCAAACCAGATTGTTGTTGACACAGAAATTGAAGAGCATGAAGTCGAATGAAATGGATCGAATTAATATGCTGGAAAATACCTTTAAACCAATTACAAAACCTTTGAATGTGATTGCGGAAAATTTTCTAAAAAAGAACAAGAAGGCAAATAAATACAACGTTGAGAATCCGACTAACTCGAACAACAACAACAACAATAATAAGCGTGAACTGATAAAATGTGATGATCATCAGCATCGAGGTCTTCAAGAAGGAGAACAACAGCAGCAGCAGCGGCAACAACAACAACAACAACAACAACAACATGTTAAAATGCTTAAACACAAAAGACGATACTCTCCAAAGAGGGTTATGCGAAGAAGACTAGACAACACCGACAACACAAACAACGATTTGGAGATAAAAGTGAGAAAATTTAAATCCTATAATGCAAACAGAAGGAAAAGAAGACCTTATCAACGAAGAAACATCCAGCATGAGGATGCTGCTGCTGCTGCTGCTGCTAATGATGATGATGCTAATATGTTTGATATGGAATTTAATCGTCCGCAAATAACGAGTTTTCCAATAACCAACAACAACCCACCCGACTTGATAGATACTTCCAACGATATCCTATCAGACTATACTTCATTTTTGGATAGTCAAAGAGCAAAATACTCTAATTTATCAGAAAAAA